GTGAGTCAAAAGACACCACGAAGAGGGGGCCAGTTCACCAGGGAAACCGAGCCAGGCTGTGGCCAGGTCCGAGCGAAGGCCAGGGTGAAAACAACTACAGCCAATGGCCGAGCCAAGCGTCAAGAATAATGTAGCTGTCTGGGGCCTCTCTTGGCGCCTCTTTTTGGAGCCTCCGGAAGGCATCTTGTGGGTGTCCTGTGGCCTTCTAGAGCCTCTTGAAAACTCGTCGGCCGCCCTGAGGGCCTTCTAGGGCACTCTAAAGACGTCTTACAATTCTCCTGGAGCCCTCGTGGGCCATTCTGGACGCCTCGTGGAGCCGAACAGGGAAGATATAAACAGACGCCAGACCTCGCCTTACGCGAGAAAGGCGAACGCTCTGCGCTCAAACTTTCCCCCTCTTTTTGATAATCAATCGAACATCGCTTCGCGGTTCCTGCTAGACTCTGGGCCCTCTAACGTTCGGTAAACGCGAGCCCCCTCCCTCATCGGACTCGCATGTCTCTTGAATCCAAACGAGAACGTCTTCGCGCTTCCCGCCATAACTTCGCCGCACGCTCCTCTGTTGGGTGATACCGAACCCTCTCGGATCGAACTCCCCTTTTTCTCCGGTCCACAAAGAGATCGGGTTGCGCTTCCCGTCATAATGCGAATCCGAGCTCCCAAGGCACGATCCATCAAAAAATGCGTGGGGTCGGGCTCCGAATGCAACGACCTCGTGTAACATATATAGTTGGTCCGTTTTCTCGGGCCATGGTCCCTTGTAAAACACGGCTTCCACACTTCCAGGGCCAAAAGCCTCGTCAGATATGCGTGACCCAAGACGGAGCCCGCAAGAGGGGCCGACCATTAGGCCAATAACAACCTGACAAGGCCCCTGGACGCTCCAGTAGGCTCCAAAAGAGCAGGAATTCGCCAGCCCAAGGGGCCAGAGGCGTGCTAAAACTTTCGTCAAAAGTTTACTAGTGCTTCTAATTCGCGCGCGCGTGGTGGCCCCTGGGGGTCCCTAGACGAAAAATACTCTGGCAAGGTCCTGGCAAGGTCCGGGCAAGTCCCCGGCAAGGTCCGGGCAAGTCCCTGGCAAGGTCCCGGCAAGATTCGGGAAAGGTCGGGTCAGAGATGCCAGAACTCCTGGGCGCGGGCCTCCCGAGCGCCCCAATGAGGCGCCAAGAGGGTGGCAGGCCCCACGGTCTCAGGCCAAGAGCGTTCCAAGATGGCCCACGTTGGCCCCAAGACGGCCCAAGAAGCGTCCAAGACGCTCCAGGAGGGTTCCAAGGGAACTTCCAGAGGTCCCGTAGAGACAACAATCATTGATTTTGGTTGGGTTTTCGGGCGATTTTGGCGGCACCGCCTTTTCGAGCTGCCCACCGCCCTGGACGGCCCAAGAGACTCCAATATCGCTCCAAGACGGCCCAAAAAGCGTCCAAGGGGGCCCCCAAATGGCCCCAGACGGCGGCAAGAGGCCTCCAAGACGGCCCCAGGATGGCCCCAAGAGGGGGCCCAGAGGAGGAACCCGACCAGACATGTCAAGCGTTCGGCCCCAAGAGGCTTCCAGTGGGCTCCAAAAGGAGCTTCCAAGACTCCTAACAGGCCCCCAGGGAGCGCCAAGAGGCCCCCGAGAAGCCCCCAGAGGCTCCCCAGAGGCCTGAAAGAGGCTCCCTCCGAAAAGACCCCAAGAAGCTTCCATGAGGACTTTGACCCACAACCCATGTGCGTCTCGAAACTCTGCTGGAGCTCTCTTGAGCCACCTCGGCGCCCTCTCGGGCAGTCGATTGGCTCTCTTCGACAGGCTGCGAGCCTCATCTCCAAAAATCTCCACGAAGACCGTCCTACCTGCCGTACCGTTCCCCCTGGGCACGAGCACCCCACCACGCAGTCACGGCGATGCGAAATGAGCTGGCGGAATGAGCGAAGCGATTAAATTAAGCCCAGAAGTTGCCTTGAGAGGACCCCAGTCAATCCCATTGGGGCCTCAAGAGATTGCATAGGCTGATTAGACATGGGAGGCCGTTCGGACGGCCCGGAGATGGAACCAAGAGCCCCCAGGAAGAAGAGGAAACGGATTGGTAGGATGACTGCGACGACGACGACGGCGACGACAACGGCGGCGAGGGACCCCTCGATGTCTGGGGAAGGAAGGGGCCGGCGGCACTGATCGAACCTGCTCAGATCCATCCGGGCAAACCAAAGCCCAACCGCCGCCGTCTATAACTAGGCCATCGTCGCCGTCTTCAGAATTGACGCTCCATGTGTCTGCAAGCGTCAAGTCCTTAAGCATTCGAACTTGGTGGGCATATGGAGCACGCCGTGAGACCTCCTGCGCTTCATTGAAGGTTGTACAATACGCTGGTGCCGTGCGACTGAAGCTCCAAATGCGCTCAATCACATCTTGAGGAAAACTACGCAAAACACGCCTCTGCAGAAGTAGCAAGCCCCGCAAAACTGCAGACCATCGGACGTGCTCGCGATCCAGTGGAACCATAAACGCAAAATGGTTGAGGGT